ATTTCATATACTCCGTCATCATTGATTTCAGGTTGATTGATTCAGGAAGAAGCAGGGCCAAATCAACCTGCTAGGGGGCCCTGGATTAAAATTAAGATGCTGGGCCCTGGTTAACCCCCCTGCTCCTACTCACTGTGGAACTGGTACAGCAGTCCTACGATGGATGATTAGACAGCCTCGGGGTTTGTGTTTGGTAATTTATCAATGAATATACAACATTTAAAGTCAAAACTTGAAGTTATTGAGGTGTTAAAGCCAGATGTTGAATTTTTCAGATAGGGCCTCAAAATGAAAAATAATCATTAAATGAAACGGGAACACAGAGCAGGGGTTTCTGGCCTCTGGAGTTGTGGTGTCATTTGTCCAGTTGATGATCCAGCCTTCATTATGGACCTTTTCAGAGCAGATACTCTGACATCAGACATATATTTTTGCAGCAGGAAAAGCGATGAGTCATTTGTTATTATAAACATAAATTGCACATCCATAGCATTCAAGTGTCTGGGTAAGCCATATAAGCGAGCCGCCATTATTAGTGTTACAATAACACCTGTGCTTTTCTCAGTGATGATGAGTCTGTCCACCTTGAAAAAGATCTATTATCTAGTATCTTTTTCTTTCCCATAGCTTCGCAATGATCCTGCACCATCATCCACAACTCACAAAACCCAACTCGTATGCAGTGATCTGAGGAGTTTAGGCCAGGCAGTTTGTCATTGTTGCGAAGAATGACAAAACACCATTTCTCTGGATGATTGCCTTACGTGTGCTGTGGACAAGATTTTTCAAACTGTACAGTGTGTGCAACCTGTCCTATCCTATGTTCTCCACACAATGAATAGCAAAAATACCGGAGCTCATTTCACAGCTTAAAGAATTCAAGCGAAGCAAAAATGTTCACCTTCCCAACATGCGGAGAGTCTGTGTTCACAGAGGTGAGAAACCTCATTTGGCATCTTAATGAAATACACTGTTTATCAGATCTACAAAACATGTATATGCAGTCAAGATGGCTGCCCAAGGACGTATCATATCTTAAATTCATTCTCAAATCATCTTCCATAGAGCTCATTCTAGCATCAAACAATTAAGCGGAGCTTTGACGATCCTATCTCTGTTTTTTTGGAGATGTTCAGTGATGCTGTAGATATAACATCACTTCTGTCAGAAAATGTAACTAAATTTAAGCTTGTAATTGTGATATTTCCTCAAATTCGCAAATGCCTCATTTAAAAAATCAGAAAAATTAGACAGTTAAACAGCGGACACCAGACGTCAGGAAAAGGTTGGGAGCTGAAACTGCCGCTAACCTTTGTTTTTTCTCTTATAACTAACGAACCAGACGTTCAGGAGGTTTTTACTGGCAGCCTAATTATCCGCAGAGGTGTCCTCCTCTCCATAACAAACACACCAGGGGATTAAAATCAGTAGAAACAAAGAATAACAGGGTATAACATCACTGACAGGCAACCAAATTAAACAGACTGTTACCATGATTAAAATCAAGGATTTCTCAGGTTTGACAATTGCTGGAAACATTTGGGATAATATAAGTCTAAAATATATTTCACATTTTAATGCGGAAAAGTTACATATTTCATATTCAACTTTAAGTTTAAATTGCCAATACGTTGTGGCAACCAATATGTGCAAACTGGGTCAGTGTCATAGCATTTGCTTTTTTTTTTTTCTTTGTTTATTGAATTTCAGCTTATACAAAAATAAAAAAGCCAAAATACAAAGTAACACATACTGTAAGTGTGAATATGTATACATATATTGGCACTTTCTGTATGGGGCTTACAGCCTTATGCCACTTTATAAACCCCCATATATGTTTGTGCCAATACATATATTTGATCACAAGAACAATAACAGCACAACAAAACATGGCAGTTAAAAGGTTACTTTCAGTAAAGACTTATAAGTCCATTAGAGTCCATCCAAATGTCATAAAACAATCCTGATTTGTAGGTTATATGGCCGCTATTATGCAGAGGGAAATGAGACAATGGTTTGGTTTCTGTAGCCGCAGGAAAACTGGTGAATTTAATCATGTTTAATACATTTAATACTGAAAAATGCAAAATTATATTAAAAATTCATGGAATACAGGAAGTGTTTTTTTTGTCTTTTATGTGTTTATTTGTTTGTGTATTGTGGGAGGAAACCGAAGCACTCAGAGAAAACCCATGCAGACTCTGCACACCAAGGTTTGACTTGACTGTGAGGAGTGCTGCACCTCAGTGCTGCCCTCAGGTGTCATGACGCTGGTCTTGCCGTCTGACCAGCAAGCTAAGAAGTCTCTTCTTCCACAGATCAGGCTCGTGGTCGCTGCATGAGAGAGGGAAGTGTGCAGCCAGATAGCAAAATGAAATATCTGGCTCAACATATACCTGGATCTTCAGACCGCGTCCGGCCCATATACTTCCAAATCTCGGAAGATTCCAGCTGTTGTCCTCCAGTGTTGCTTGACAGCCAGAAGACTTTTGTGTGCGCACCAGTTTGGTCTAGATGTGGAAGTAGCATCTGATAATCATGCTGTATCTGGGCCAGATTTGGGCCATGGAACCGGGTGTATATTGGGTCAGAAGAGGACAAGCATGTGGCCCAAGTATGAGCCAGATTTATTTTGCTATCTGGGTGCAGTTTCTCAAAAATGCTAATTTCCCTACTTAAGCTATGGCTTATGTGGACTTTTCATAGAAGTAAATTAACCCACTTTCATATATGTCAGATGGTCTACCTAGTTTGACTGATATTTGGCAATCATCAGCTCGGATGGTGACATGATCTTTTAACAAGTATGACCATACGTGACCGTCTTTTGTGTCTAAGCCTCTGTGACAAATGACAGAAGCAAGTCTGTATCTTTGTCCTTTGTTTTGATTCACTGGAATTTCTATTAATCCTGATGGAGTCACGGGCTCCCTAAGTATCAATCCATCGTCGTTTGTTCGAGACAAATATAAGGTTAAAAAATCAGGGCAAGTCCAAGTTTGTTGTGGCTGTACTTCATGACCACATGCCTGACATTGTAACGGAGCTTGGATACCACGCAGTAAAAGGGATGAAATACTGTCGTATTCATTTACTGGTGGTAAAAGATAAATACTTTGCTCTGATTTTGTCACATCTACATGCATACATTGCCCACACCTGCTTGTTTCATTTATATATATAACCGTTTGTACTCCACATTGATTGAGCCAGCACAAGAAATGTTCCAATAAATCAAATACATCATTGCCCTGTGACAATAGCAATGCCGGTACTCTCTGGTTCAATTCTACCAAAACCCAATATATTTCTGTGGGAGTGAAAGTCCTCCCTGGGTTTTTGAGGGCTTTTAAAAACAGCCCTGCAAATTCTGGTGTTGTTGACAGTCGTGCCAAAAACTCAGGGGGATATTTTGCTAATTTCTTCTGCACAACCTTCAGGTTTAGTATTGCCTGTAATGCTGCATTCATCCAGCAGTTATTATATGTATTAGAAAACCTACAGACCGATTCACATTGGTTTCTGTGAAAAGGCATTGCAGTGTTCGGAACAGCTGCAGCGTCTGGAACAGCAGTCCATTGATTGGCATCCGTTACTGTGTTGTTGGTTGAATCGAGCAGATTAATGGGAAGGGCGGGAACTGACGTGTTTTCTTCAGCTTTGTCTGTCTTTTTCTCTGCACGTTCGGAGTAATACGCGACGAGTTTCCTGACACCTTTAGTGACTAAAATGCCAACAACCCAACCGAGAGTTAGCATGTTTCAGTTTTTTGTTTTTGTTTTAGAACTTCTGCTCTTCCACAGTTTCTTTAACAGTTGCAGCTGAATTGAGCGAAAATCTTTGGTCTGGTTTTACTGATACTGTCGACTGTGACGTATTAGAGGAACGTTCAAAGGCATCAAGTCGCGTAGTGACGTCACAGTGACGCCATTCCGAGATATACGGAATCCGGGAAGAGACGGGGGGGCGGGCGAAGTTTTTGCCTGATCAAAAATTAGCTTGACTTTTAAAAAATACACTTTAGGGTGGTGTGTGAGGGATTATTCATTTATAGAAGTTATACGAGTAAAATGAACATTTTCCTCTCGACATATTATACTTTTATTCTTCTCTGGAAAGTCTTACAAATACAAATACTGAAGTGAAGTTTTTTCTCTCTAACATCTTAACTGGAAATAGATGTCTCACATAACAGAGAAATCATTATACAGGACAAAAATATACAGATAAAGCAGTCATTAATACATACAAAACAAAATTTGAGCCAGGGGGAATGAACTAAACAATCAGCAAATTGATAATATATAATTCTTTCTTTTTTAAATTATTATAATTGTTATTGAAGATACCAAACAGCAGGCTACATTTGCCCAGTGCAGAGAAAAGTCGGTCAATATTATCAACAATATATCGGGAAATATCTTTCCATCTTTTATTTATGAGTGTATGGACATTATTGCCAGAGCAGGTGTAGCATTGTTTCCGGGTACTTTTCACACAGCGAACATATTTCTTATTTAAACTTGATAAGATGATGATTCACAAGGTAAAGGTTGAGGGCAAAGCGTCGGTAAGCAAGAATTCCTGAAGGAATAGTGTCCATAACCATGGTATACTCTTTTGGGGTCAAGAAATTCAGAGTAGCTCAATAACTCCATTAATATGTAACAATTGGTTTACTAGAATTATATTATTGTTAAACCAGTTAGGATAAGATAAGGATTTATTTTTGAACATTTTGCTGACTTTTCCCATTTTTACCCCCAAATAAAACACCTATGCGGGAGAAATTATGTTTGTAGATTAATGGCCAAGCATTTGTCTGTGGAAGATAAGGGGAGTTTCTCTATTTTAAAATCGCACAAAAGTACAAATCCAATCATACTGAAGTTAGCTGTCAGTGCATCAAACCTGCACTCAACTACATGCGAGCTGCGTTTCGGCTGCGCAGCTCAGCGCTTGTGAAGTTTCCTGTGTGTGCCTTTCTGGAGTCGGTCCAAGTCAACAGAGACATACCCTAGCTAGTTAACCTAGACCTGTACTGTCCAGGTAGACTTACAATGAGAGATATTCTGCAAGCGCCGAATAACAATTAACTGGCCGATATATAAATATAAACACGTAAGTGATACAAAATGACTTTACTATCGGAGGGAAATTTGCTAGATAGCTTAACGTTAGCTAGCAGTAGCTAGCGTTTGCTAAAGAAAACCAGCATGATACACTTATGAGGTTCCAAATTAGCCTGCACCTGACTTATACCACTTGGACGTGTCAGTATTGCACTAACTGTGTAGACCATGTTAATTTTCCAGCTCAGTTTAATGTATTTGTGTTTTTTATATTGCTAACTAGCAAGGTTGACACAACCGTTAGCTAACCCTAGACACGTTAGCTAGCTTTACCGTGAGCTAACAACAACAACAACATTGACCTGGTGTGTTACCAAATCAATTCAACTATTCTCTCCTTCCAAGTATCGTGTGAACATCTGTTATTGGTGTATCTGTTGCCTTTGTATCCATAACTCAGAAGGTTGTAGTGACAGATTGTGTGTCTCCTTTATGTATTTGTCGTCTTGCAGACAAGGCCATCCAAATGGTGATCATGTCAGGCACAGCCACTGTGCTGCAGCAGTTTGTCAGTGGTCTGAAAAGTCGAAATGAAGACACCAGAGCAAAATCTGCCAAAGATCTGCAGCACTATGTGACTACAGAGCTGAGAGAGGTAACAACAGGCATAAACATGGACGCCATAGAAATCTGTCATGAAGATATGACTATATTCAGAAACACTGTGTACTAAATGAGTGTTGTTGCTACAAGAAATGTAGAGTGATCAGCTGCTTACACTGTTTCAGAAGTGAAATGGATCCACACTTCTCTGTGGTTGTTAATATTAGTTTTCTTTACTTAGACATACTCTGTTAAAGTTGCGATCACCAATTTTGACCTTCCTCCTTGCTGGTTTTTGTTATACTGGTTTTGTGCCTTCCACAGTTAAGCCAAGATGAAGCCACTACATTCTATGATGAGTTAAACCATCACATATTTGAACTGGTATCCAGTTCTGATGTGAATGAGAAGAAAGGAGGCATTCTCGCCATTGGTAAGTTGTCAATACAGTCAAGCCCGTTTTTAAAGTTTACATTTAACTTTAATTTATGAAATTAGCTTGAAATAACTTATTGTCTTTGTTTATATCACATGAAATATAACAGTATACACAGTGTATATGTAAAACTATAATTTGTTCCAGTGAGTCTGATTGGAGTCGAGGGAGGCAATGCCACCAGGATCAGCCGTTTTGCCAACTACCTGCGCAACCTGCTCCCCTCCAGCGACCCAGTGGTCATGGAGATGGCCTCTAAAGCCATGGGCCACCTGTCTATGGCCGGGGACACCTTTACTGCGGAATATGTGGAGTTTGAGGTGAAAAGGGCCCTGGAGTGGCTGGGAGCAGACAGGAATGAAGGCAGACGCCATGCTGCAGTAAGTGACCTGCAGGCAGCTGGGACTATGTTTGTTGTTGAAATACCACTACTTCTTGTTGCTGCATATGTTTGCTGGAGATGAGGGCAGATGATCATTTGACTCAAGACTATTCCATTGCACCACTGTATTTTTATTTCTTACTTTTAGAAAGCTACACTAGGCTGATTTGTGATTAGTCTAGCTTTCCCTGGATAGAAACCGTACTCATTGCTGTTGAGGAGACAGTTTTTTTGTTTGTAAAATGAGCAATGTCCTTTGGGATTAAGGAGCTATTACTACTTTGTACATGTATATTCACTGTCCACAAATGATTTTTAAATACATGATTTTTGCAGAAAGATTCTGAATGTTTTAGCAGATGTTGTAGTGATTAGTAAAACATTTTGCACTCTTTGCACTCAACGGTGCAGCAGTGCACACAATTATATTTCCTGTTGCACATTTTATAGATTTTAGATTAAACATTAGATCCCTGGAATAACATGATAACTGCCTAGTTTTAATAATTTCTAAGTTAACTTGCTGTTTATTTACTCTGTAAAGAAGTAAAACATAACAGAGACAATTAATGATTAGACACAGAAATAACGGTTTTCTGCCTATTCCAGGTGTTGGTGTTGAGGGAGCTGGCTGTGAGCGCACCCACCTTCTTCTTTCAGCAAGTGCAGCCCTTCTTTGATAACATCTTTTACGCAGTATGGGATCCCAAGCAAGCCATCCGAGAAGGGGCTGTGTCTGCCCTGCGAGCCTGCCTCATCCTCACCACACAGAGGGAGACCAAGGAAATGCAGAAACCACAGTGGTACAAAGTAGGACATTCTTAATTTTTTTAAGAAGTTTTCTTCGTCAGTATATGTTGTACTTGCCAGGGGAAAACCTATGTCCTTGTGATAGACAGCATGAGTGTTTTTTATTTTCTGCAACAGCAAACTTTCGAGGAGGCAGAAAAAGGCTTTGATGAGACTTTGGCCAAAGAGAAAGGAATGAATCGTGACGACAGGGTCCACGGTGCTCTTCTGATCCTGAATGAGTTGGTTCGCATCAGCAGTATGGAAGGAGAGGTCAGTTCTGATTTCACTGTGGACACATTCCTCACATCCAAAAAACGAAACATTCCTCTCACCGCTTTACTTCTATGACAGCGCATGCGTGAGGAGATGGAGGAGATCACGCAGCAGCAGCTGGTCCATGATAAGTACTGCAAGGAACTGATGGGATTTGGAACCAAGCCCCGCCATATCACCCCCTTCACTAGCTTCCAGTCGGTGCAGCCACAGCAGTCAAACGCCCTCCTGGGCTTGTTGGGCTACAGCACGCCTCAGGGCTTCCTCAGCTTCGGAGCCACGCCGGTACCCGCCAAGACCTCACTGGTGGAGAGCCGATACTGCCGTGAGCTGATGGAGGAGCGATTCGACCAGGTAGATTTTACAGCAGGGGTCTGGCTACTCCAGGGGTGCAACAACTGTTTTCGCAAATAACCAGTTTAACAGCTCAAGAAACTGTTCATGGCTGTAATGGAACAACTCTTAAGATATATAATTTCTTTTATATTATTTTAAGCAAAAGCATGATCATGACGCTTCTTAAATGGACATCAAACCCTGCACAACTATGCATCTTATACCTGCTGTTCAGCTGCTGTTTTATTTCACTCCAGAATGAGCGCTAGGGTGAACTGGTTTTGGGTGCAGAGCAGTGCTGGAGTACATGATGATATTGAAGCTCAGTTTTTATTTGGACTGCCTATATGTTGCCTACAGGGAGAGCTAAGTTCTAGATTGCATACTTAATGTTAAGATTATCTGCAAGGATAAGTGAAGGTAGACTAAAGAATCTTTGACAAGAAATTGCTTTAGATAATATTTAGATTAGATAATATAGATATTTAGATAATTTTTTTTCAGCCCTAAATTTGTTCAGGATTTTCATCTACCCAGTAGCCCACCATATATGTCTTAGCATATGTGTATAAGCAATTATTATTATTAAGAAGCGTCCCTTACATTAAATCTAAGGGAGACAGTGTGTGGGAGTTTTCTCATTTTAAGATTTCTGATTTTATGTCAGAAGTAATGCCCCTTAGCTCCCACGGTAATTGCAGTGGGCTTGTGAAAATATTTAAAAAGTATGTCACAAGGTGAACAACACAAGGCCAGAGCTATTTTGAAGCACCAGATAATAGTTTACACAACCTTTCATTATGTTGTTTGTCCAGGTGTGTCGATGGGTGCTGAAATACAAGGCCAGTAAAAACCCTCTGATCCAGATGACCATCCTCAACCTGCTTCCACGCCTGGCTGCTTTCCAGCCACATACCTTTACAGGTGGGACCCATTCATGTTTGAATGTCGTCCATGATCCGGTTGAATCCATCTTTGGTAAATTAACTTGCAACCATTCATTCTTCCTATCAATGTATCTGCTGTTGATGCGTAAGAAATGTGAAGAGATCACGAGCATTACTTTTTGTTCTCCTCCGTCCTGATGTCAGTTGGCTTTTGTTGTAATAAATTGCTTGTAATTTCTCCCAGTCGGTTGATGTATGTGTTCTCCACAAAGCCCTACATCTGTGCTTAATCATTTGCTTTGTGGTTGCTCCATCCTCCGTGCAGACCAGTACCTGTCAGACACCATGGGCTACCTGCTGGGCTGTTTGAAGAAGGAGAAAGAGAGGACGGCTGCTTTCCAGGCCCTGGGGCTGCTGGTTGTGGCCGTCAGGGCAGAAATTCAGCCGTACCTCTCCAAGATCCTTGAGATCATCAAGGCGGCCCTGCCACCGAAGGACTTTGCGCACAAGTCAGTAATTATAAATATTATCTTGTCTCACAGTTTGTGTCAGAGTCTCTAGATACTAAATATTATGATACTTACTTCATATTTCTTCATATTCACATATTGATATGTCGTATCAGATCAGATTATCCTGTTGTATTTTAGTTCTTGGCTGTGTCAGAAATGTAAAATATACCCTACTTTCCTCTAACAATCCCACAATACAATACTCCATATTTTATAGATGCAAAGAATTACCATTGTCCGACTTCACGGCTGATGCAAAATGGCGATTAGTTAGTGTCTGAAATCTCAATTTACTGCTCACCGTTAACACTCATGACTCCCTAATGAGGAACTGATTTTGGACACAGCTACACAGATTTTGTTAATTTCTCTTGTCTCTTTAGTTTCTATTATCATTGCTGTTTCACATGTTTTAAGGATCATTCTGTTTTATAGATTTGGTTAGGTTGGATGAGACCCTCCCTAATCTCCAAGGGCTAAATTCATTCTCACTCTATTAATGAAAAATAGAAAACCACATCGAACATTTATATTCTGGGTAGTATCTGCTGTAGAGCTATTTAAAAATAATTTTTGGGATACTGTCCATGAAATGAAAAGAGACTCATCATTATAGTGTATGTTTTACACTTTCTGGTCTTCTGTGTGTGCAGGAGGCAGAAGACCATGCAGGTGGATGCCACAGTGTTCACCTGTATCAGCATGCTTTCCAGAGCCATGGGTCCCAGCATCCAGCCAGACATCAAGGAGCTGCTGGAGCCTATGCTGGCTGTGGGCCTGAGGTAAGACAGAATACATTTCACCACAGTGCTAAATAATTCAACTAACAAGGTTCTGCCTTTGCCTCCTGAACTTTTTGGGCTTGGTTTATACATGTAGCAAGATTTCAATCCAGAATTTGAATTATATTTGTTTATTTTACTTAGTCCTTATTTAACTTACAGTTATGTTTAAAGGTCTGTTTGTGCATAAACACACTTCCTCATCCTAATGTAAAGATGACAGCGATGATGAGGTGTTTGTCCACTTTGTCCTATTCACGTAGTCCTGCGCTGACAGCAGTGCTGTATGACCTGAGCCGCCAAATCCCCCAGCTGAAGAAGGACATTCAAGACGGTCTTCTGAAGATGCTTTCCCTCGTGTTGATGCACAAGCCGCTGCGTCACCCTGGCATGCCCAAAGGCCTGGCTCACCAGCTGGCCTCGCCAAGCCTCACCAACATCCCAGAGGCAAGCGACGTTGGCAGCATCACACTGGCCCTGCGCACACTGGGAAGCTTTGAATTTGAGGGTAAGTACCTTGAATAAGGCGCAGCTTCTGAAAAATAATGGGCTTAAAGTAGGGCTTTGTTCTTGTAATTTTTTTTTTCTCAAGAAACACACATAACACAAAACCCAAAGAATGAAAAAACATACGGACTCCCAATTTTGTACTAATGCAGCAAACGCCATTGATTAATCACACTTGTATTGTAAATTCGGTTCTGTCAGTAGAGAAAAATGACACATTTTCAAGCCCGGGTAGTGCCATTCCAGACTGAGAAGACCGTGCAGAAATAACTGATGGAGTTAATGCGTTGTTGCCTGCACACTGCACATTCAGTGAAGCTGGAAAGAAATATTGTGTTTTTAAATCGCAGGCATAAACCATCAGGTATAAGACTGAAGCCACTAAAGGTGAAGAAAACACTTCCAGCTGTTCTGTTGATTGGACTCACAGGACTTTAAACAGCATATCACTGGATCAAAATACTTAACAGTTCTATCTAATAGTCAATTGTATTCTTCTCTTTTTGTTTTTAACTCCCCTTTCACACTGAGTTATTGTCGCATTTTGGTGAAGTTTTATAAATGTATCAACAGAATCTGCGGTGCACTGGTGCGAGTGTTAACGTTTCTGTTCACTGCAGTGGCCGTCAACAACATATGTATTATAATTTGCAGTGACAAGGAATTGGGATAACGCAAATAAAATAACAAAATCTTAATATTGCTCAATATTTTCAAGCAGTACTCTTTATATACAGCAGCCTGGGGTGAAACAGTCACTTCTCAAAGTCTGCAGCACACCACCAGACTTCTTCAGAGTTTTAGTTTTCAAATCTCAAACATTTTGAAATGAGCCAAAGGACGACCCAAGTTATTGCTAATTGAAGCCTTATACATGCATTTCCAAAATGCAAAAACTACACCCAACATGTTTTGTGATTATCTGCATTAACGCCCTCAACTGCATCTGTCTAAACAGTAGTTTTAATGCCAAATCTCATAGTAGTTCACCCATTATTCTAACTCTTTATGTCTTTAACCAGGACACTCCCTCACCCAGTTTGTGCGCCACTGCGCCGATCACTTCCTGAATAGTGAACACAAGGAGATCCGGATGGAGGCAGCTCGGACCTGCTCACGTCTTCTTACCCCCTCCATCCACCTGATCAACGGCCATGTTGTCAGCCAGACAGCTGTGCAGGTTGTTGCAGATGTGCTCAGCAAGCTGCTGGTTGTTGGAATCACTGACCCAGGTAACGCATGAAAGAGGAGTGGAAGGGCAATCAGAGAGCGCAAGACCTCCACCAAGGCCGATCGAACAGCAGACACCGGACTTCAGAGAAAACAATTCAAAATTCATGGGAAATGATCCGGATATACACCATCCCTCCAGGAAGTCCGGTGCAAAGCAGTTCTGTACTTCTTGTGTAATCCTGTTTATAAACAGAGACAGGTGAAAACATAACCTTGGTGGAGATAATAAAAAAGCAGGAGAAAAGGGATAGTAGTGCCATGCGGATTTGATGAGTATTATTTAAAAAAAGAATTGTTAATACTATAGTATCGCTGAAAATGAGAACTCGATGTTGCAAGAATCAGCATTTCAGCATTTGTGACCTGCAGCAACGACCCATCATGATAAAGGTAATAAAAGAGTCACATTTATTTTTCTTGCCTCTGTTCCTCGCAGATCCAGATATTCGATACTGTGTGTTGGCATCTCTCGACGAGCGTTTTGACGCTCACCTCGCTCAGGCTGAGAACTTGCAGGCGCTGTTTGTCGCGCTGAACGATGAGGTGTTTGAGATCAGAGAGCTCGCCATCTGCACAATCGGACGCCTCAGCAGCATGAACCCTGCCTTTGTCATGCCCTTCCTACGCAAGATGCTCATCCAGGTAGGAGAGGCACAGTGGGTGGCACATATGAGCAGCACATATGCCATAATCACATCAATCAGTCTTCACATGCCTTCAGCATTAAATTCAAGGGTTTCTTGAGTAGTTCAAATCATGAAAACATTCCAAGACCTTGTTGAAATAATTTTTTTAATTAACAAATCAACATGGTTTCCATTTTGGTTATTATATTCCTGCAAGTGGAGAATATCTTCAATAAATTTTTAGATATTTTTTCTGTCTTATACATCTGTCAACACAAATATCTTATGCTTGAGAAAAGTCACTTGTTGTCTGTTGTTTCAATTAGATACCTACAGAGGGCAGAATAGGCCATGGTATTATTCACACCTTTAAAGTCCAAAGTATTCCTGTATAAGACTGTGGTTTCTTTGATGATGGTTTTAGGGAGTTACAGCACACAGACAGCTCCTGTAACACTATTATGTACACCATGAATTCACCTCATTAAGATTCATTCCAGATAAAGAGTAAGTGGCTGTTTTATGCTTCACTCTGTTTTGAATTTTGTCACAGATCTTAACAGAGCTGGAGCACAGTGGTGTCGGCAGGAACAAAGAGCAGAGTGCTCGTATGCTTGGCCATCTGGTGTCCAACGCCCCCCGCCTCATACGGCCGTATATGGAGCCCATCCTCAAGGTACAACTCTGTTATTCCTGCATTGTGAAGGTGTATAAATCTAAACATTCATATACTCAGACACCTCTCACTATGCTTCCCTCAGGCTGTTACCTGAGAGGAGCATGTGTATTCAGTATACTTTTCAGTGAAGGCTCAAGCCCATTACCACTCTACTTTTTTTACTTTTACAGGCTCTTATCCTCAAGCTGAAAGACCCAGACCCCAACCCTGGAGTAGTCATTAGTGTGCTTGCGACAATTGGCGAGTTGGCTCAGGTAAGACTGGACCGTTAGACTCCATTATGTTTCGTGAAGACAGTATTAGCATATATATTTCACATTGTTTTTACAGCTGCTGCAGAATGAAACTGAATAAACCTGAGGATTTGCTATCCTGTGCACATGATTACGTTGTTTGAGTCTCACAGTAACAGTAATGCAAACAATCTGGGCTTGTCCTTTTTCTGAATGTAGAGGATAGAGCCCTACCCATCGATGTGTGCCTTGCTCCATCCTGTCTAGGTGGTACGATGGTCCTCACAGAGGCGTCAGGAAAGCACAGTTAAAGGCAGGCAGACCCTGAAGTTCAGAGAGAGTGCAGGAGATGCTCAGGTAGACCAGGTGTTGACAGTTGGCTCAGTGCAGGACAAAGCAGAAGCGCAGCTGCTCAAGAACCAACAGGCGAAGACGCAGGAAAATGTAGGAAATATAGATGAAGGACATTGAATTCAATATTAACTCGGCGGCTTTGTGATAAAAGATGTATACAAGCAGAGAGCCCCTTTGTGTAGAATTCTTTGGTAAGTGCTAGTGCTGGTATCAAAAAAGACACTATAATAAATATTACAGACAGCAAAACATCCCTCTACCCTGACAAATCTGACTCAGGGACACTGAGAGCAATGGACTGAAAGCAGTAGGAACTTTCCACAACCAAAGAAAAACCTGCCTGCAGAATAATTTGAGAAATGCTTTAATAAGATCAAAATTCTACATAAAGGGCTATTGATTGATAAGGTCATATTAAACAGGGATGACTAGTCATTTTAATGTAAAACAGTGCACAAAGCAATTATTCATCCCCCTTTTAGATTTTCAGAAGATCCTATTGACAGGATATTGGACAGATTATGAGATTTCCACAGCTTTGATTGGTTCTGTGCCTGCTCTGTCAGGTGAGTGGCCTGGAGATGAGGAAGTGGATGGACGAACTTTTTCCTATCATCATGGACATGCTGCAAGACTCCTCCTCATTGGCCAAGCGACAGGTATGTGAAGAAAATGAATCAGCTTCATCTGGTTCTAATGTTTTTTTTGTTTTTTTTTACTCATCTCTCCTCAGCACTACTCCGGGTTCTGAAAAATATTTATTTCTTGGGTACAGTAAATACACATGTACTTCAGTAAACACAGCAGGATATCATTTCGGGAAAGAGTTTAAGTTAGTCAGAAAGCATTTCGAGAACATTGTGCTTCTGGTATTTCCCGTTTAAACAGAATTGTGTGCCAGAACTTAACAAAAGAAAAGGTCATTCAAAAGTATAACCGAATTACCTCTGCAGTATTATAATGGCAGATCAATAAGGGACTGGAAACTAGTTTAGAATTGTTGGCCGGGGCCAGCAAACAGGATTAATGCTTGTTATATTTATTTACACTTGTAATATAGAATAAGATGAACCCTTAAGAATATTATAAAATCAAAATATAGTTGTTATAATTGTTTTGTTGTTTGTTTAATAGATATTTTTTTATTACATGTTTGTAATGAAGCAATGTAAAGAAAAGCTGATTCTAAATGTTATGATTCATGTTTCTCTATCAATGGCTTTGATCAAAGAGAATCTTCCTCTTGATTTTCCACCAGGTGGCGCTGTGGACACTGGGCCAGCAGGTGGCTAGCACGGGCTACGTGGTGGAGCCTTACCGCAAGTACCCTTCCCTTCTGGAGGTGCTGCTCAACTTCCTCAAGACGGAACAAAACCAGGGGATCAGGAGAGAGGTATGCTCACAGTGACTCAGTATGAGGCCAGAAACCTTTTTACCTGTCAACACACACCAAACACGGAAAGGTCTGTTTAGACGTGTTGACTTTGACCAGTGAATTATAATCGCATGAATACGTACAGTATGAGGCCATGTGCATTTTTCCATATTTATCCGCAGTTATGTGGAACTTTTTTCCAAAGTCCTGAGCTGTGATGTAAGTGATAATTGTCATAATTTCTTCTCTCGCCTGTTACATTATGTGAGGCTCAGAGTGACTTGTCAGTGTGGTGTACGGCGCACGGATGCTAGCTCTGGTAACTCTTGCACTTTGTCTCCACTATCGAACTGATCTGAAATCCCTCCAGTATCACTTTAAACTTTAAACTTTATTAATGCAGGAATATCCCACATCCCGCAAGCATCAAATACTCAATATAAATCAGTTCCAGTGGGGACTCGGGGTCACATAAGGAAGTTTCATTACATTCAGAGATGCTTCTCAAACCACTCCTGCAACAGACTCCAACACCTCTGCTGCTGATGTTTTGACTTTATTTTTGTTTTCGTGTTGCAAATATTCCTCACTTTACCAATAAGTGGATAAATAACAGAGCATCAGAGCTGTAAGGAGACTGTAGTAACTGTTTAAGAGTTTCAAAAAAAGATTGCTAAATAGCTTGGCTTTGTTTTTTATTTGAATACTTAGATGATAATCAATCAAATGATTTTAAACATCAGTAGCCACATCAAAGTCGAGTGCAAGAGGCTGGTTGAAATTGCTAACTGTGTGCGTGCTGCGTGTCTCCCAACAGGCTATCCGTGTTCTGGGTCTTCTCGGTGCTCTGGACCCCTACAAGCATAAGGTGAACATCGGGATGATTGACCAATCCCGAGATGCCTCCGCTGTCTCACTCTCTGAGTCCAAGTCCAGTCAGGACTCAGGTAGGCTTGTGATCACTTCTTATTTGAGTTCCTTTAAGTTGCAGTATAGTAAGTATTGTAAAGAGTTTGTATGTAGAGGACTTGGTATTATTGTGGCCTTAGATAACTTCCATTCACCATTTGTTTTTTTGTTTTTTTTTTATAATATAAACACTCAGTCAGGAAATGCTCAAATCTGGCAGCAGGTAGCCCCCAGACAGAGACACATTTCTCCACTTCAAGGATTGTAAGGGAAACTTATTGGAACAAACAACTTCCGTCTTAAAGGTCACAAAACTTATGAAGTGGCAGTTGCCATTTTAGAAGATTTATAAAACGTAAATGTCATTCAGAAAAAGACGTCTGAGATGTAAAACAAGACATTTGCAGTTGGTCATAATTTGCTGCATCAATTATTCTGCAACATTTGGACTGATAATGTTCCAGCTACAGATTGTGTGTGTGTGTGTGTGTGTGTGTGTGTGTGTGTGTGTGTGTTTTTCTTTTTTCTTGTCAAGCTTATAAAAGGACATAGTGACGCAATCCAGCTAATGTGTACAGGAAAGATGTTCACAGATCATAATATTTTCTAAACCAGCTGTTTAGTGATAGAAGATGTATTCTTGAACTGAACAATATCAGTTAGTTATAAGTCAGTGCAGAGGAAAGAGCTGTGAGTAAAACACACCTTTGAAATCTTGAGCACATTTTTCCATTGGTCAGAACACGATCACTCGAGAGAGGAACTGAATACATCCTTTGATTATTTGCCTTGTTGAATCCGGCTCTTGTGAACTAATGAAATCCTCTCTGGCCAAAACCACTTATCATTTACAGTTTGGCTGTTATACATTGTATAAATCTACAGCTCATTATGAATAAACTGCAGAGAAATGATATGTCTATGTGCTCAAAACATTGGAATAGTAGAAGAGAAGATCAAATTTCTAAAAGCTAAATCTCCTGAATGAGGCCGATTAATTGGCTAGAGTCAAACTCTGAGATATTCAGACTTAAATCGGACTTATCACAGTTTTATAGACTGATTGTAAGTGATTTACATCACTGTTTCTATTTGGGAGAATTGATTTCGGATATGGTTCATATACACTTAAATGTAAAACCATATCAACTGAATCATTCATCATCTTATTGCTGGCAGACTCTGTTTTGTTAATATATTTGTTGTCACGAACCCTCAGAACAAAGCATGAAATTTATGTGACAAGAGGAACACTGAGTTTTTATTTTTTTTTACCTTGGCAGTGTCTGTATGGAAAGATGAATTTTTGTCCAAATACTGTCATTACTTAGTTAATACCAGGTTGTACATCTGGGTCATATTCTTTCCCACCAGTCTTCCTGCTGCGCTCACTTTTAACCCACTACATTAACTGTTACATACCAATGGCTACAAACACTGAATTCAGGTAGATAAACTATAAACACTCTCATAGTAATTTAGGAGCTTTTTACATGCCTTTACTTTGGACGGAGAATTTTAAATTGAATTGCAGCGCATAATGAAAAGTGTTGCTCCCTCAAAGGCTGTCGTCCTCTGGAGGGCTTGAAAATTCATAATGATGACAATAAAAATGCTAATCTGTCTGTAGTCATGTGGATCGTGTATGGAGAATGCAGGTCTCCACTTGTCCGATCCAGTCACATGTCTCAGTATGTGACCTTGGACAATATGGTAATAGTTTTACCAGTTTGTTCTCTGACTAAATGGACTGTGACCAGAACTGGAGGCCGTATATCTGTTGGCAGATTTGTCAGGGTCAGCGTCTGGAGCACTAGCATCTTTGACAGCATGTGTTTTGTTATGTGGGAGGCCATTGGCTGGGCCTATCTCCTCACCTGACTTCAAACAGGACCAATCACGTCACTACAGAACATCAGGGTCATAAAACTGATGAAATGATGTGTATTCCTTCTTAGTAGGTTGCTGTACTTACAGCTGTTATTATGGCGAGGAAACAATTCAGGTTTTTTTTTTTTCCCCCAACACAGCTGAAGCCTGAATTACTACAGTGCTGCTGCCTCACTTAGCTACACTGGTGCCTGTTTGTGGGTTGTAAAGATACAGATGTGTGGCCATCTATCACCATCATTAACCTAGACCTGGTGAAGGCTGGAATTAAAGATCCAGCAGAAAAGCTACCCTCTGTTACCTACAGGCCCCGTGCCAATCTGTACGTCTACAGCCCAGAGTCTGAGGGGAGACAGCTGGAGCAGCTGAAACTGTACTCCTGCAGAAGGCCAGTGAAACGCTGGATACCAGACATCTGTATTCTCACATGCCTTGTAAAACTCAGTAGCTCTGCATAGATAAATGGACAGACTGACCCCATTTGCATTGTCTGTCACAGAAAACATTAATAAAACTACTTATTTAAAAATTTAAATGTGTATTATAAATGTTAAAAAAAAAAGACCACCAGTGTTGCTTGGCTTATTTTAAGAAATGCAAGAAAGAAGAAAGAAATTCTGCTCTGTAAATCTGGGCGTGACTGCCAAAACCCTCATGCGGCTCCTTAGATTCTCCAGCACTTGAAGTGATGCTGAAACGGTGTAATACAGATGGCAGCAATATCTTAAATGTTGGGGTAAAAGCGAGATTTATCAAGCGCTCAGACCAAAAAAAAAAAAAAAAAG